TATGGTCTGTGTCTGTGTGTCTATACAGTTAAATTTTTCTTCATTCACTTAGAGTCAAATTACTGGATCATAGTACTGGAGTGAAATTCATTTGATTAACTGAGGTAGCAATTTTGAAATACCTCTTCAAATTAAAAATTATGCATATACATTGAATGTGCCTATAGAAAAAATTCTATACATTTAACAAAGTAGACATAAAAAGATATTCATAGAAACTTTGGTATGAGCAAAATCCTGCAAACTACTGAAGTGTCATGTGAATATACATGAAGGTGAGTCCGTAGCAGGGTTATTCGGTGGCAAGGGAGCAAGTAAGTACAGGGGTGAAAGCACAGCGTCTGGGGGTAAATTCATGGATCTAGCCCAGCTCCCACCATAGGCCAAGAACCTTGCACAGGCGGGTAAATTCTTGTCTTTCTTTGTCAGTAGTATCATGGAGGTTGTGCCACATGTTTATATGCATAAGCATCCTGGAAGAAATAAGTTGTATACTGAAACCAACTAATTTAAAGTCATTTTAAAGAAAAGAATGTTTACAAGGGTGTGAACTGGGTAAAGCTGACTGTACCCTAATTCCAAGTTGGCAAACATGGTGAGCCATTGCCAAGAACGAGTGAGCAAGGCACAGATCCTGTCATGCAGATAGACTGCTGTGCAAAATGGGCTGTCCAACAGAAGCCACAGCCTGCGGTCCCAAGAGGAGAGACGTTAGTGTGGAGACCCAAGGGATCAAATACCCCTTAATCTCTACCCTCTCTTCTATTTCTTCTATTGCCATTCACCTGAAAGCCAGAGACCAGGGGTCTGATGCTGCTCTCCCTGAATAACAGGATGCACTGTGGATTGGGGAGGGGATGGGCTAATGGAAGACACCCAGCAGAACACCCCCATCAGGCTTTGGGAGAATTAAATGAATAAAGCCACGTAAAGGGTTTAGAAGAGCTAGTGGCACAAAGTTAAGGCTTAATAAGTGTGGTTATTGTCATTATCTGTTTCATTAATATTGGTATTGATTACCCATTGAAACCATTGAGTCAGAGCCTGGTGCACTGCAGTGGAGTCATACTCCCAAGATACATGCTAAGGAAAAAAGGAGACAGAAGCTACTCAGTGTCAGGAGTATGAACTCTTTTGTAGAAAAGATTGGGAAAAATATTAATGATAGTTTTATCTGTGAAGAGTATTTGAAAATGACACAAGGGTAAGGAAAGTTTCTTATTTTTCATGCTCTATCTTCTTCAATATTTACGCTTTTTAACAGTGTGCACAGGTTATTTTATTTTTATTGATGAAAATGATAGGTGCTAGCTGGGAGATGTCTTTATGGGATATGGTCTCTGAAATTTTTTAAGTATTTGTTAATTTAAGAATGGAATATGGTGTTGAGAAGAGCAGTATTTTCTAAGTATCAAAATTGGACTAAAATAGTGCTTGCAAGAATTTGAAGATGTCTGATTTTCTCACTATTTATTACTGGAATGTTAACTTCACATACTCCCTCTCCTTGAGTCTATCCAGAAATTAGTGACTTTAAATAATTTTAGACAGTGAAACATGATCTTCATCTATTTAACAAATTTTTGCCCTAATTGGGGGTCATATATTGCTATAGACACACACACACACACACACACACATACTGATAGATTGATAATAAAATACAGAGATGATTTTATAAATGTGTGTATGCAGATTTCATGGATGTGAGCACATATATACCCATGCACTTTTCAACATGACTCCAAAATACTACGAAGACTAAGAGACTGGGCTCTGACATCATTCTGCCTAGATTATAATTCTGACTCCACATTTGCCAGCTGGTAAGTGTGGGCAAGTTACTTGACTGATGTAAACCTTGGCTTTTTTCACTTCTGGAGTAAAGATTGCTACCTGCTTCATAGGAACTTTGGACGATTAAGTGAAATGAGCATAGCTGGCATTATAGTAATCACTCAACATATGGTAGCAGTTATTTATTTTTAAGAGTAACCATCCAAACTAGCTCAGCCAACTGAAGAATTTTGTTTTCATTTCAATCCAGTCTAACTCATCTACCAGGAATTTCCTCTGACTGGGAAGTGGCTAGAGTGGGTGGCAGAGGGCATCTATGAGCACACAGACCTAAAGAATATGGAGCTCTTGGAGCTCAACTCTCCTTCTAACTTTGGCCTTCTTGTCCAGGAGAATGGGAATGCAATTTTAAAGAAAGTTCAGTGATATATGCAAAGTTACAAGGCTGGAACTACAAAACCAAGTTCACTGCCCTCCATCTGGCTTCTACTTTTGTATTTAGAACCATCTATCCATGGTGTCAGTGGCTATTTATTTTAAGGGAAGAGAGAATGCTCCCAAGAGGAATCCTGAGTGGAAGAACTGCGACATCATTCAGCATGCACAAAAGAGCAAACCTGAGTAGGCCATGGCCATTGCTTAGCTTTCACCTGACTTGCTCCTTCCAAAGAAATGAATTGTCCTCCTTGTGGTAGAAGCCCAGTTCTTCAAATCAGATGCGCTGTGGATCCTTTGAAACTGGAGCCATTATCCCTGTCATTCTGTTCAACTTCACTCCCCAAGAGGATACTAAAAGAGGACACTGCACAGAGCCCACTACCCAGAAAGGAGTTTTGCTTTGATGTGATCCCCTGTATACAGGAGGTGTCATGTGAATCAATGTCACCATTGTAATCATTACAGAAACTTAGGAGGACGAAAGGCTCTGGGCATCAACTCAAACTGAGTGACTTAAAAGATAAGGGAAAAAGTCTTTACCCTCAATAGGCTAGCAAGTTTTTGGTTTGCTGTCAAGGAATTTGTAATCATCAGTGTTGTCTAAAATTAAGATGTTAAGTTTCCCGTTGCTGCAGGTGTTTAGTCAGAGTCTGGCAAACCACTTAGTGTAAATATTGTGCAAGACCCAGACAACCTCTCAGGCCCCATTCTATGGCAAGTCCCTATCTTTTTCCTTTCCCACCAGAGAGGGGAATAAAAGGAGAGATTCCCACAGAGAGGAAGGGGGAATTCTATCAGGTTCCCATAGTAAAAGTTGATTCTGTGGATAGAAGCAAATGTGGCCAAGAGAACAAAGTCTTAGATGTGGAAAGAGGATGATGGCTAGTTGTATCAGCCCCTGGGTGACTGGTGCCAGTCACTTCTGCTCTTTCTAAACCCATCTGCACATGAGGTCAGCATTTCTCTAACCTTATGATGGCTACTTCAATTGGGAGCTCATAGTTAGTCAGACAATAATGCATACAGACATCAGTATGCAGATAGACATATGGAAGATTTACAGTGAAAGGATAAAACCCACGGCGCTTTCTGGGGCTATATATTGTTTGCTATTTTCCTGGCCTATGGAGAACACATGTTGAAGAAGTAATTAGAAGGATGAGTCTTTAAACCTTGTCCATTAATATTGCTCATATGGATGATAAGAGTCCTGGAACTATTACCAAACGCTACTCAGGTGTTTGCAGTTTGTGGTCCAGGCCAGAATAAAGAGAGGACATTTCCAAGAGCCTGAAAGTCTTCTGCTGCAGGCTTGAAAGATGCTTCTGTTACTTTGATCCACACTATTACCATAACAAAGGACCACAATCAGGAGGTTTCAACAACAGAAATATATTGCTTCACAGTTCCAGACACTAGAAGTCAGGATGACTGCTGAATAGGTCCTTCTGAGTGTTGTGGAAAAAGGATCTACTCCAGGTCTTTCTCTGAGTTGTACATGGCCATTTTCATGTATCTCTTCCCAATGTCTTGCTTCTGTGCATGTCCTATGCACAAATTTCCCTTTTTTGTGAGGGTATCAGTCATATTGTATTACTGCTCACTCTACTGATCTCTATTTAACTTGATCATCTCCGTATTCTGTTTATAAATAAAGTCATATTCCAGAGTATTAGCAGTTAAACTGTTAGCATATTGTAAGAGGATAGAATTTAAGTTGCAATCCCACCCATACCACCTTACCTAGCTCACTGGGTCATGTTATAATTAGTAGGATTGGTAGTTGGTAGTGAGTGATAAAAATGATCACATACTCCTTTAGGTTCATTTGCCCCATTTGGCTTTTTCTTCCCCTCCAAATCTTTAAACTAATATTTGTCTCATATAAATATCCCCCTGGAATTTGGTGTTTGGTATGTGTATGTATGTGGGAGAGACAGCCAGAGATACAAACACAAAGAAAAATATTTGCACACACTTCCTCATCTCAGAGCTTCTGCTCAGTAGAGAAGCAGAGCATTTACCTGTGGAATGTACATGTGTCATTCCTCCAGAAATAACTAGCCTTGAGCTCTCATCTCAGGGTTTTCCTGAGGACAGTCTTACTGTATGAATAGATAGCTATGGCTTCCCAGGGTGAAGCAGTAACCTTGCATTCACACCAACAGGAAAATGGCTCAGTGTAAATCAAGTCTCATCTCATTAATTACCCTGCCAGACGTTTATGTTGGGCAGGGTCCCAACATCCTTCCATGACAGCCGTCATCTCCATTCTGGGCTTAAATGACCCATTTTGTGGTTGAGTTCATCCTAGAACCCTAAGAGGATGGGAGGAGGGAGGGCCCTGAGGAAACTTTGTCTGCTGTGCCTGGAATCCCCAGTGACTGGGGTTATTGGGTTGGGTGATGGTCAGGATGGAGACAGTGCTTGGTCAGTGTCCAATAGTTCAAGTCATCATCAAGGATTGATTTCCAAGTTAATGCTCCCAGGATATTTTTGACTTTCTTTTAGGATTAACTGCCAAGGTTAATCCATGATCTTGTTTACTCTGTGACTGGTCAAATATTTAAACTGACTGGAAATAAATATCTCAAGCCTAAATCCACTCAACAGTTCCTCCAACTTCATGCAGGGAAACATTTAAAAAATATATTTTATTACTGCCTATTAATTTTACAAAATACTGTGTTTCAATATGGTATTTTCATACACATGTATAATATATTTTGATTGTATCCATACCCCCATTACCCTCTCTTATGCAGCAAAGCCTTTACAGCATACAGGAGAGAAGTAGATGCAGGCCGTTATGAAGAGACAAGAACTCCTGTAAGAAGGATGAGAGCTTGACTCCCTCTTTGGTGACTCAGTGAATGAAGACAGAGACTTTAACTATTGCCAGCAGACTACCCCATTGCCTGACTTGTTTCAATTCTCTAAGGATGTTGGTTGAGCATTCCAAATGCAGTCAGGAGCACAAGGCAATCTTCAATGTCAACTTTTCAGATCTCTCAATCATGAAAATACTGCATTTTGCCCAGTTTCCAAGGTTGAAGAAACTTATCACCCTATTGAATGCAAGCCTAACTAGAGAATGCTGTGCAAAGCAAAGTGAGTTTTACTATCACCTAGAAATAAGCAAACACAATAAACAGATGTGAGATGACCAAATTAAGGAAAAGAGGTGGTCAAGAAAACCAGGATTCTCCCTCTGAAAATCCTTGAGTGCATGGTAAGAAATGGACCACAATGCCTACTGATTTCAAACAGTTGACAGTTATAATAGGTGACATGTATGAAGCATGTTTATGTGCCAGACATTGTGTTCAATGCGTGTATATTTTCATGTTGAATCTTTATTAACACCTCCCTTGTTTTTGGTACTGGGGATGGAACGCGGGACTTTGCGCTTGTAAGGCAGGTGGTGGCCTTATAAAGCTCTTAAGAGTTAGGAACAAATATCTCTAAAAGTTATGAGTATCAAATGAACTAATACATGTAAATGCACTTAGAAATTATAAAGTGTTATAAAAAAACCAATGTATGTTATTATTTCATTGAAAGATTCCTGTTATGGTTTATGTCTAGGTGTCTCTCCAAAACTTCGTGCACTCAGAGGTGAGGCTTTGGTAAGGTGATTGGATTACTAGGACATGATACACAGCAGTGGATTAGTCCACTGATAAATTATGGCTGAATGTGATGTTGTGAGTTGAGGTATGATGGGTGAAGGTGGGTCCTAGGTGCATGGCCCTGAAGGACTTATCTCCCTCTCTCCTGCCTTGATCTTGTTCAGCTTCCTGCTGCCTCACCATGAGCTGTTTCTCCCCTGCCATGCCTCTGTGCCATGACAGCCATGCCAGTTGACTAGGGACTGAAACTACTACAAACTGTGAGCAAAAATAAAACTCTCCTTCTTAGCATTGTGGGCTAAGACAACCCCTGAAATTTTTAAGCTTAAGAGTTATGCAGTGAAATATAGATGCCTAAAAGATATGTGATCTAACCCAATTGTATACCTCAAAACATCACCCAGAGAAGTAATGTCAGTTTTGTTAGGACAAAATTGTTATTCGATGTGCTTAGAGAACCACAATAATGTAGACCTTCTTCACTAATTATGAGAGTGCTCAGATCAAAGAGGTTGACAATTGACCAAGACATATACTTTGTTAGCTCCTAACTGTGATAGAATGGAAGCTAAGTCCTTCATTGCTGTAATACCTTGGTTAGTGACTTTTACTGGGGTTATAGACTTTGTAAGGTTTGATCTCTTCTGGTCTCATTGTTTGCATTTCACATGTTTGTACTAATGTGTTAAACAAGCTGGTATACTTAATTAAATGCTGACATACAGAAAGCAATAAAAGAATAATAATTAAACACCCACTTTGGGAAATTTGGGTAATGAAGACTTGGAGCTGGTGGGGCTTACTCAGGGTGACACATTTGCTAAAATGGGTGGAGTTTAAGAGGAAGAGAGTCCAGAGGCCTCGGAGCTGATGGAGTATAAATGCCCTTGGGGTGAGGTCTTTGTTTGTCCTTACTCATACAATGCCACCCACCTTTTCACTGAGTCACCTACTCCTTGTAGGTAATTGGCTTTTGGGGAGTGTGGGTATATGTGAAGGAGTTCTTTTTGGGACAGTGTAGAGTTAAAAAAATTTTTTTTCCCCGCTAAGGTATATTAAATAAAAAGGGTCCAGCACAAAAGCTGAAGGGCTTTAGATCACTTACTACAGTGAACACCCCCAAGTAAATAGTTGGAAGGTGTACAGCTGCATTGTGAAAAGAAGAGCTCTTCCAAATCAGGGATATCTGTTTGTGAGCAAATTCCTAAACTAATCTGAGCATCAATTTTACATGATAGGATAAATGTAAAGCCCTGGCAGTGCATGATAGATACTCCATATTGTGACTATATTGCTGTCTCTCTTGTCAATTGTGTTTTAAATTATTACTTGCAAACCATTTATATAAGCATCATCTAAAATTATCTCTTCTGATAAAGAAGTAGGGACTAGAAACAGAGATTCTCAGATGAATGCATTGAACAAGTGGATATATTATTGGTCCTAATACCTCCAGCTCTGGGTCCTGATTCTGACTCTGACACCACCCCAATTAACCACCTACTGGTTTTCTCTATGCTTTCTAACAGAATTGTACTAAATCGTCTTCAGGTGGTATAGTTCAAGGATGAGTGCAGAATCACAGAAGTGGCAAGTTAGCTGTCCAAATTTAGAAGTTGAGAGTGTGAAGCACAAAGGGTACAGGTTGAGTCTCATGGCTTCACTCAGACGTAGCTAAATACTAGTTTAGGAGTTCTCTAAAGAGATCATCTCTAGCACTAAATCTTCAGAGTGATGGAGGCAAAGCCGCAGATGCAGAAATTCTGGGCTCTTTCCCACAGGCTTACTGCCCTGCATAAGGTCTGTGGGAGGACGGGCAGCAGCAAGATGAAAGGAGTAAAAGATGTGAAGATTGATTGATTTGGTAGCTGCTGGTGCCTGAGGTCCTGTTGGCAACAGCTCATAGTATCTAAGATGGCAGATTGCACACTCACTGGCTAGTTGTTGTCTAAGACACTTGGATGACTTCTTTAGACATCACCTGCACCATTTAAACAGGGTGAGTGGCAACGAATTGGCAAGTCTTGTCCATAATGCCGCTATACTTGGAGGACTTCTGGGTCTAACCCCATAGAGTGGGTAGGTTACACACTAAAGAGAAGTAACAGCAGCAGGAGCCTAGCTAGACTTGCCTGCTGATTTGATCAGAACTTCTCATGAACCTGTCTATTCTCAAAAAGTGCTGTCTGTCTTCTCCTCCACATGCTCAGTGTGAAAACAGAAACTTAGGGTATGACAGATCTTAATGAGCTAGAATAGAAAAGTCAACACGGTCTTCTGAAAGCCCAGCATCTTCCCTTCCAGAGCCAGTGGCAGTAGAAACCTCATGCTGCTTTTTTCCCATTCTTCACACCTGGCCCAGTATACTTGCCTTTGTCAATTTCACAAGAGTGTGTTGGTTTTTTCATTTTGTATATTCCTGGTTGTTCTGCTGTATGCTTATTGTTTGTTTAAAACAGAATGTTTTACCTCAAATAACATTCTGTTGGTAAAAAAAATACCCTGTTCTTCACCAGAGCTGTTCCCTCCTACTTGGAGGTATGCCCTTGGCAAGAAGTCTGCTCTGTTTGGTAGAGGTTATCACTCAAAAAAATAAAATTCTTTTTTTTTTTGAGGCGTGCCCACAGAATGACAAAGTATAATTTTAAGGCCGCTGAAAAGTCTTTATTCTTTGACACAAAATGATCTGTGATCTTCTTACAGAAATCTCAATCTTCATAAATTCTTTTCTTAAGTTTAAGGCTTTGTTCCCTGGCAACATACTAGGAAAGCTCTGTAGGAAAAGATGCACATTAACGCTTATCTCTTGGATACCCTGCAGTAGGGTTGAGTGCCAGCTTTTACAGAAAAGTAGTTTTGCCAGGGAACAGATGAAGATCATTTTACTGCTTTGGCAGTGAGGGGAATGGAAAGAAGGATGAGAGCAAGGAAATGGGTCTTCCTTTTAAGAAAAGTAATATAGAAAATAACCCTGCAACGCTGCTTAAGAAACGATTTTACTTTTCCCCCCTGATCTCAAGAAAATATGTCCTTATGGTGAGGATCTGGGGAAACTGAAATACAGTGTATTTATTTTCTTTGTCTAATCTATCATTAAAGAGTGAAACTATAATTCTTAGACATTATCAAATGAATATGTGCAAAAAATGTTATACTGCTCAGTAATTGAGGGAATCAGCGAAATGTTACAACTGGTTTAAAGGAGAATTGAAAGGGCTACACATGTGAAATATGTGCATACGTAAAAATCAGATTCCACTTAGATGAACTATCTAAAATAAAATCATGGAATCAGAGACTGGAATGATGGTTGAAGAGCCCGAATAGAAGAAAAAATAGGTAGTTATTCATCAGTGAGCATATAGTTTCAGTTAAACAAGATGGATTCATTCTAGAGACTTCCCACACAACATTGTACCTATAATCAACAATACTGCATGTTTTATTTAGACATTTGTTAAGATCTCATGTTAAGTGTTTTGCCACAGTGTTTTTAAACAGTCGCCATCACCTCCAGGAAGTTCTCCTAGAAATCCCCAGCTCTCTCCACCCCATGCTAGTACCCGTAGCAACTCATGCCTGTCTTCATCATTGCCTTTACCATGTTTTATTCACATGTTTAATTCACCACTAATACGTAAGCTGAAGACTCTATCTTATATGTTATTGTATACCTAGAGTTTGACACATAATACAGATTCTATAAATGTGTATTGAAAATCTAGTAGTTCTTTGTATTGATTATAAAAGTAAAGAAGATAACTGTATAGATGAATATACAATCAATTTGTAGTTATGTGTTTGGATAAAAATTAAAAACTAACACGTTTTGCCTTCTAAAATCATATCTGACAGTGGGTACTGAGTTGCAATCAGACAGAAATTCTAATGTACTATATTTATTGACCAGCAGGGTGACTAGATAGTTTCTGTGTACTACACATCTCAAAAAGCTGAAGAAGGGATTTTGAGATTGTTTTTTTTTTGTTTTTTTGTTTTTTTTGCCACAAAGAAGGGATAAATATTTGAGGGGGTAGATACACTTAACCTGAGTATGCAGTGTATACATGTAACAATGCATAACATTGTATTTCATTAATTTGTATAATTTTGTGCTTTTATGCATCAGTTAAAAATAAATTGAATTTTTAAAAAGGAATCTCAAAAATCATCTAGCCAAAAAATCATGCAAATAAAAAACATAAAATATGTGCAATAAGAGGAAATGTATAGATTTATGTCTACTAACATAAAAGATCAAGGTGGGGGTAGGGATATAGCATACTGACAAAGAGCTTGTCTGGTATATATGAAGCCCTGAATTTGATCCCTCGCCCCCAAAATTAAAAAAGAAGAAGAAAGAAGAAGAAGAAAGAAGAAGAAGAAGGAGAAGGAGAAGGAGAAGGAGAAGGAGAAGGAGAAG